AAAATCACCCAAAATCACGTGCTAGAGAACTTAGCCAAAACAATACCAGGGTCAGATTAAAAAAGGATAGTCATTCAACTTATAACTTTTATCAAAATCTATTACTGTCAATGGTCACACGATGAAAAATTGTGATTTTAAAGTCTTCATTTTTATTCCTAAAGTTTTACTTATTGTTTTTTTTAAGATAGTTAAGTAAATCAATTAAAGTATCAATATATTAAAATTAGCAAGTTTGAAAATCAAAATAAATAATGCTAACTGATAATTATTCGAGTACATTTTCAAACTTTATAAAAATTAGAAAAACTCTTTATTTATTGAATACAGCCCAAAGAATAAAAATAGTTCAATCAGTTTTATGTATGAAATCGATAGAGCAAATTACGCCGATATAAAAAACTGGAAGCAAATGATGAACAATAAAAATATGCATTTTTTTAAAGATCTAATTTATAGTGGTAGTTCTACTTCAAAAGACCAAGAAAAAAAAGTTCACTTGAAAGTTAAAAACATTAGCAAACATTCCAGTTAGGACTAATGTACAGAGATTATAACTATTTTTGTACATTTACTTATGTAGAATACAAGAGCTTAGATATTAGATAACATAGTCAAATGCTTTGATTTGATGAGAAAGAAGTATGATATTGAACATGTTTACGATATTCGTTTATCACAATATTAATAGACCTTCTAGACATTTAAAATATTCAACAATTTGAAATTGATCTTTAGGATCACCCATGAATCTAAACTTATCAAACAGTTTCTTTCCATTTTGATTGCTTTTCACTTTTTTTTGAATTGCTCACCACTGAAGGAACATTCTAGGAAAATGTGATAAAAAAGAAGCAACATTACTAGTTTTTCATCTATCCAGATCACCAAACCACAATATGATTAGGATTAATATTTCTTTAATTATATGTCGTGTAGTTTTATAAAATGTGTACATACTCGAAGTATAAATAAACCCATCTGTTGTTTATTTAATAAAATTTATCCAATCTCCTCTATATGAAAATAAAAGATTGGAAACTGCCAGCTTCATTATATCGGTTCAACTATATGAATGGCCTGTCTCATTGTATTTTTTCCACTTTTATTGGTATGTAATGTTGTTATTCTTAATTCGACAATCTGTTAAGCATGAATGATCTTATTATTTATGCAGCCGTCATGAAATTGCTTTTTGCTAAAATATTTGCATCACACTTAATTTGTGAAATTATGTGAACAAATGTATGAAATTGAACACACAAACTTCACCTAATTTTATATTTTCATGTTCTTTATAATAAATTACATGGTTCAAAATTGCATATAAAAAATATCAAAATGTAGAGTCAAAATACATGTAGTATAGAGCGGAGTTCAAAAGCGGGCGGGTAAAAAGGTCCACCACCAATATGTCAAAAGCAAGTAAAGTTAAAAATCTTTTAACAACAATTAAATATTTGAAAATACTTGTAGGAAAAAGATGTGCAATCAGCCAATACCTCAAATCGTCTTATAATTAGATAAAATTAGGATAAACGACCATATAGCAAAAGTGAATTTCATGTGTTGCTAGTTTATTCGTTGTGAGCACTGTTGTTTAGTTTATGAGGTCTTAATACACATTTATATAATATATGTTTTATAAAATGTATTAGTTAGATCCAACAAACGTTTTTATATAACTTCTATAATAGCTTACATGTGGATGGAGTAAAATGGACCAACTAAACCCTTACTATGGCTCCTGCCAAAGGCGTAAACAATATAAAATAGAAAATGTAAATTCAGTTAAGAAAAGAAATTTTACAATTAAATTAATAGTTACTCCAACTCTGCTGGTGAATATTTCTGACAAAATACCATATCAAGGTTATACACAGAGTCATCTTTATAAAAAATGTGCCAATAAAATTTATATTTTGTAAAATCCCCTTGAAAAATTAAAACTAAAAACAATACATGGGACCTGTTTGGCCCCTGGCTGCCATTTTACGCCGGGTCAGCTAATAAATTTTAGAAAACAAATAAAATATGCATTTCTACAATTAAGGATAAACTGGAAATTTTACTAGTCATAGTGCTATAGCTGTTTCTTTGATACGTGTTGTGTTGTGTGATGTAGTTCATTTGGATTAGACAGTACAATTACTTGAAGTCAAATTGGATCTCACTTGCAAGAACTTTTTAAAAGTCATTTGACCAATGCTTTAATATTAATTGGATGCATGCGATTGAAGAATTCTATTCCTAGACACGACGACAATCTATTTTTGTGAGCGTTTTCTCGAGGCCCATTAGCTCAGTTGGTTAGAGCGTCGTGCTAATAACGCGAAGGTCGCGGGTTCGATCCCCCCATGGGCCATGTATTTTATGCGAAAGCTTAACAATGTGTTTGCCAAATTTGTCACTTTTTTTGGTAACCGCCGTCATCAAATGTATTTTTTTTGATTTTATTCTCATTTGATTTTTTTGATTGTTTTGATTTTATATGTCACAATAAAACACAATTTTCACGATAACTTGTAATTATCTTTTTCATTACACAAAAGTACATAGAAGAGTTATAGTAACATTTCAAGCTAGATTTGTCTTACCAAAAATTTCATCAATTTTTTCATTTCGTCAATAGAAGTAAAATGTTTTTTGAATTATTCAAATCGGGTACTCCGTTCTATCAAAAACGGAATTACCATTTTTGGCACATTCCGCCCCATATTTTCGAAACAACTGGACCTGTCTTTATCAAAAACTAATCAGCACGTCTTCTTCGAATCGAATGCTTTTTGAATCGTTTGAAATCAGTTTATCCGTGTGTCCGAAATCGTTGATGAAAAGTTGTATCCAAACATACATACACAAACAAACACACATATTTTTCTAAGATATGCCAAAACGTTCAGAAACCTTTGAAACGTAAAGATATGCTAAAATTTACATTTTCGATTTTTTTTGCGATTGCTATAACTTACCCCAAATAATAGTTAATATAATAAGATTTCAATTTTTTGTGTGCCCCTCATTTATTTGCTGGGACGATAATAAAATCATTTTTAACTGAAGTTTGAAGTTACGACAGCAGCAGTAGATGGCCCTAACGTACTTCTTTCGCATTTTCAACGCACTGCTGTTGAAATACAGAACCAAGATTGTTAGTCAACAGCAGGTCTACCTGTTCTTCACTTTGGTTTCCCTTCAGAGCGAATAAATCTTTCGCCTTTTACTAAAGATTTCCGTGGAGGGGAGCAATCAAATGAGTATGTAACTCAATTTTTTGTGAGCCCGGCATTTATTTGCTGGGCCTATAATAATGTAAATTTTTACCGAAGTTTGAAGTTATGATAGCAGTAGTAGATGGTCATAACAACGGTTTTGTATTAGTAAAAGGCGAAAAATGGTTTCAACTCGGCATTTCAAACGAGACTCGATATTCAAAGAAAAAATGAACGTGACCCGGTAGCCGAATCAACAATGGTGTTATTTTAAATTTTATTAATTAACTTCCGTAGTGTCTGTGCATGTGCGGATACAAATTTTTGTCGGCGATTTAGGGACAACGGATCAACCGATTTCTCAAAAAAAAAACTATCGATTTCTATTAATAAGGGGACGTGCTGATTAGTTTTTGGCATAGGCAGGTCTAACTGTTTCGAAGATACGGGGCAAAAAGTGCCAAAAACGGTAACTCAGTTTTTAAGAGAACGGAGCGATTTTAATAATTCAATAAACATTTTACTTGTATTGACAAGATGAAGAACTGATTAAATTTTTGGGAAGGCAGGTTCAGCGGTTATGGTCTCTCAATAATAATAAGTTAAAAAAATGACATTTGGCGGTCAAAAATGTTTATTGGGCATATGTACATCAAATTATCAGATATTTTATAGAAATTTTATTAATGTGTACACATTTTGTGTAATTTTTTTGGGTTCCGTACTAAGATTGGAACGGGAAGTTCCAGCAATTTGCCTTGAGGCACGATGCCCCACTAGTTTTAATTTAACTAAAAAATCTTTAGGTGAGCGTAAAGGGGTTTCTTCGAGAGCAACCGTTTAAAAAGTATTAAAATGATGATTGAGCAAAATATGCAAATATGAGTAAATTCGAAGAGTGATACTAATTAATTTTAGAATTTCTGTCGAAAGAACGTACGAGAACTGAAGATTTCAACGATGTTCGACCTTTTATTAAATTAAAGCAAAATAAATTATAAGATATTGATACAACGTTATCCATTATCTGTAACCCTTACCAAGGCCCATTAGCTCAGTTGGTTAGAGCGTCGTGCTAATAACGCGAAGGTCGCGGGTTCGATCCCCCCATGGGCCAAGTTTTTTATTTCGAACCTATAATTGTAAGAGTGCATGGCTTGTAAGGTTGTGTTCATTGCGATTTTGAAACTTCCTTAAGACCCCTTAATTTGGTTAAACCTTTTTGTATGCAAATTAGAAAACGCAGGCGAAGCACTTTTCTGTTGATCGTCGTGTAAACTATTAAATTTGACTAATTAAGATTTTTTGTGTGATGACGCATAAACATAGATCTATAATATGTATTATAAGGTCTAAGCGCATAAATCACAACTTTACGAGGTTGTTAAAACAACTATGATTTTTGCTGGGATTTTTTCAACCTGAAATAACATTTTCATACACAAAAATGCGAACAACATTTTGTTCTACATTCGCATAAGGCTTATAATTACTGATTGTTTCCCCTATTTTTTTCAGAGGTAAAACAAAAATTCGGTAATTAGGGAGCTAATACAACTAAATTAATAATAAAAAATAAAATCTATAGTAAGTAAGTAAATGCTACATATATAGATAATAGGAGAATGAAACAAATATAATTATAAAAATTGAATAATTTCACCCCTTCAACAAATACAAATAATAAAAACATGCATCATGCAAAGCTATAAAAATTGTTACGAAATTCATGCAACTTCAACAAAAAAAGTTAAAACAATAATTTTTAAAAGATTATTACGATACCACTCAGCATTTGATCTCAGCCCTTGGAGCTTTCATGCAAGCGATTTCTGCACAGCTAACCGGCGCAGCCATCGCATCTGTGAAAAAAATAATTGGATTAATATTTTTTAAATAATTTTAACAGTAATTAACTTCCCTTAGGGCAAGTTTTAGTAATCGCAAAATAATCGAAAATATTTTTTTATATATCTTTACGTTTCAAAAGTTTTTGAACATTTTGGCATACCTTACCTTTAAAAAAAATGAATGCGGATACACATTTTCGTCGATTTCGGGAATACGCATCAACCGATTTGAATGATTCAAAAAACATTTGACTGTTTTATTTTAATGCAAATAGCAAATCGCAATTGTTCAAATATTTCCAAATATCACATAAAAAAAATTAGAAATCAGATATTCAACAAAATTCGGCAATATAAACAACATTCATTCTCAAAATTAGACCGATTATTTTAATGAAAATTCAGCCCCAGATAATAATGAGTTGCAATTTGATATACTTGCTCAAAATGTTCGTACATTAAATACACACCCCTTAATTAGTAATAATATATTTTCACCCTTTGATGCATTTAATGAGTGACTGTGTGGTTGAGAAAATAAATTATGTTATGTAAATGGATACATATGATTTATAATAAGTATTAGGTGTATAAATGCATTAAGTATGATATACAATCATATTTATATTATTGTAGGGAAAGTACGGACAAAGCGACATAGTTTTTGTTAAATATTATTTATTTATTTAAAAATATTATAAACAGTCTCAGTCTTATAATTTTTACTTAATTTATCTATCAGTAACATAGATTTTTAATTAAGTAGGAACTATAATGACATATATATAAAGGAAAAATGTCATTTTGACCATATATGAACAAAAACATATAAGATCAAGAAATACTGAAGTACTAATTTTTAATAGAATAGTTCTTAAATAAGTCGTTTGGTCTTTTTTAGGGCATCAATATATGACGTATGAGCCCAAAGAAAACCAGTCATACATCGTAACCAGGCTCAAAACAAAAAATAGGTTTTTTCAATAATTGCAAGATCTTTTTTGCCGGTGGATTCTTTGTTCTGTTTTTGAAAGTGGCTATAGTAAGGGCTAAAAGCCTACAAATGAACTACTCTGCAGTGCTTGCAAAACAGTACTGTGTCCCTTTATCCACTGTATAAAGTATGTCATTTTGTCAGAAAGTGAACAATACTGCACATATAATCAAAATTCCATCAAACACTTAATTATTACAGTAGTAGTGATCAAAATCACTAGTATAGGCATGAGATAATCTATTTCAAATAAAATAATTACAAATAGCATTATATAAATCATATCATATCAAAAAATATGGCAAAACAAAAAATATGGCAAAACCACCCTAAAAAAACTTTTAAAGGCGCGAGATATATATATGAACTGGTTATTGCGACAATACTGTGACAATGACGCTCAACATCATAGAGAATTCTGATTTTAGCTTTCTTCGCGTTATACGGTCGTGTACACATTACTAAAACTAGCCAATTTTTGATTATGGTCATTGTGTCGTTTTGTAAAAACCATCAAAACATATAATATGTTTGACCAATGTTATTTTGTTCGCATTTTCCCTTAAATTGAAATAGGTACTCATATAAAGTAATTTTTTAATAATATGTACCGATTTGTATTTACGTCTTCTCAATGAAGAATTCTATTTGTATAAATTGTATCGCGTGCATCGTTGTAATGTTATTTACAACTTCTTCTTAATGAAGAATATCTCTAAACTACAAGTCTTTTAAAATGTATTATATTTCTTAATGCATAAATTATATCGCTTGTATTGTAGTTACTAATTTCTTCACTGGATGTCTAGTTAATTTATTTCAAGCAATAATAACTAACTAATTTCTATATATTTTATTATATCATACCTCCGACTGGCTCCTCGATGCATTGCCCAGGTGGCATGTAGGAAAGCCTTGCGGTTGTGTCGTTGGACACGGGAACGCTCGGTGGGGCATAGTACATTTGGGGGCGATAACTCTGGGCAGGACGATGCGAACCCCAAGGCATGTAGCTCAATTTTTGAGTTGTGTTTTGGTCCATACGAGCTGGAAACAAAAACAAGGAAAAAATTAGGAGGGCAGAAGGTGAGGCAGGTTATTACCCGAGACGCACTGTTAATATGTAAATATCTCTGACGCTGTAACTTATTTTTTGTGATTTTGGTATGAAGTTTAAATAAGTTGACCAACGTTTATCATTAAACAGTTGTCATCGACTAAATTTGTACCTCAGTTCAGAAATTACAAACAATAATTGAATTTTTGTGGTCAGAGGTAGAAAAAAGCACTACAATTTTTTTTTTATTTAATACTTGATGTATTTTATATATTTACAAGAAATTTGTTCAATTTGATAATCCTTTTTCAAAATTGTGACAATTTTTCAAAACTTCGAAATTTTTGGAGAAAATCGAGTTTTTAAATTTTTGACGATTTGAAAATTTTTGAAATAATTCGATTTTTTTTTAAATTTTGTAAGAAATTGAGTTTTTTAAATTTTTGATATTTTTCAAAATTTAGATTTTTTTAAAAAATAAAAAATTTCGAAAATTTGAATTTTTTGAAACTATTTTTTTATTTTATTTTTTTTTAAACTTTCAAAATTACGAATTTTTTTGTAAAAGCAAGCAAGCAAAAGGTTTTTTTAATTAATCTAATCAGATGATCCGTTCTCTCAAAAACTGAATCACAATTTTTGCCTCGCCAAAAACTAATCAGCACGCCTCCTTATCAATACGTATCAAATGCTTTTTGAATTATTTAAATTGGTCGATCGTGTTCTTGAAATCGTTGACGAAAATTTGTATCCGCACACAAACATACACACACACACACACATACATCCACTTTTTGTAAGGTGTGCCAAAATATTCAGAAACCTCTGAAACGTGAAGATATATAAAAAGTTTTGTTTTTTAATTTTTTTGCTATTATTATATCTTACCCTATGGGAACTTAATAACAAAATAGAAATATTGACTATTATTTCTTGTATACTCTAAAATAGGATATAGTGATATATATATATATATATATATATATATATATATATATATATATATATATATATATATATATATATATATGGTGTTATATATTTATATATATGGTGTTATATATATATATATATATATATATATATATATATATATATATGGTGTTATATATATAAAAACTACGATGTTACTTCTACGTTTCAAAAAAGTTATCATAAATTATAAAATAAAAAAATAAATTAAATATCATTAGAATATTTATAAAAAATTCGTTTCTACTTACTGGTTGGTTCCACATACGTTGTGTATGGTTTGTAGGAACATACTCGATCTACTTTTGGCGGTTGCATGTAGGATAATCTACTCGTAGTTTGATCTAAAATGATTAAATATAAATAAAACAAAGCATATAATATACTTAAAAAAAGTAAATCAGATCTATGTTGTTAAATTAATTCGTTGCTTATCTGCCTCACAAAAGTGAAGAAAAAAGTTGTGACAAAGAATAATATATAAATGATTATTAATTTTAGCGAGAAGAAAGTTTATAAAGAATGGTAGGATAAAAAACAAGTTTTATGAAAAAGTTAAGGAAAAGTGTAAACTTCAAAGAAGTTTCTTCAAAAATCATTTTATTTTTTTAAAACCATGGGTTTGGTTGCGTGCATCTAGTTTTGTTATATAATATATCACCTTTGCATTTATATCACATTCGCTATATATCACTAATTTAGCTTTGATACCTTCCATCGATGCCTCCATTTGACAAGCAATGGCAATAGGTTTATAAGAACAAGTTTTGACCAAAGGTTTAGGGACGTAGTCGTGTTTTTGGGTGGTCACTGCTTGCATTGGCCCTTCGTTCCATTTTCTTCGGCAGGGCAACACAATTGCGGCCGGTTTTGCATCACAATGGGGCATGTAGGACAGCTAGAAAAATATATAAATATGGTAAAATATTGCAAAACAATATAGTGGTTTTTAAACACGTAAGAACAGTTTCCAAAATTAAATACACATATATTGTATGCGGAGCTTAAAAGTCCGCGGGTTAAAAGGTCCATTATCAATATCTCAGAAACGTAAAGTAAAGTTAAAATTTAACTAGCCATGACCTTGATTCTTAAGACGTTATTGCTGTCAGAATATAAAACCATAATGTTTGGAAATCCGTAACAAAAGTATTATCTTTCCTTGTAACTTTTTTTGGTTGTGAGCACTGTTGATTAGTTTACGAGATCATAATATAATATTTAATAGGCAAAGAGGTAAACAATTGTTAATATGCTGGTAAATACTATATTTAAACTCGAATAAGTTTTCAATGTTGATTAATAATTGATTTCTTATCGCTCGTATGAGTTTAATATTTCTTTGACCCTTTAACAAAAAAATTAAGCAATTAATTCTTTTGAGAAATACTGTTTATTTTATGATGGTATGTTGACGTGTTATCTGGTTAAAATTTTTATATAATTTTAAAAAAGAACTTCTAGTCTTAATTGATAATATTTTAAACAGTGTTTGTCAAACAATCCAGAATGTTTGCGTAAACAACAGTCTCGATACAACATACTACAACTTTAACCAATAAATTATCAAAAACAACTAAATTTTGTTATACCAATAAACTGAAAATGTGTTTAAGGCACAAAGTCATTAGTATATTTTTAATTGTAGTTATAGTTTAGTAGTCTGACTAACCAAAAAACAATATTTACTTACCCGATTTGTTGTCTGATCACTCATAGGAATTTCAGGGCAAGAGACAGTGTATATTGGAGCATACGATTGAACCCGGTCGATTGGACATGGCATATAGCTGAGTTTGTAGGTGGTATCTTGAGAAAATTTAGTCGTCGGATCTATGTAGGATTTACAAGGGGCGTATGACTCTTGACGACTGGTCCCTTCATTCTTCATAAAGCTAGGAAAAAAAAAATTAAACATGCTTGCTTAATGCAGTAAACTAAACTCAATATATTATTTAACCGACAGATGGCAGTTGGGACGTACGCAGGTAGCTCGCGCGGTACAAATCAGCTAAGGCGATAAGAATATATACTACCTTCGTTTATTGGTCAAACGGGGTCTGATGCTTCTTGGGAAATAAATCAGTACACAAAACCCATGTGTCGATCATATGCACAGAGATGCATTCTTATCTTCTAGATTCTAGACAAGTTTAAAGAAATATTGATTGTATTCAATTTCGTAATTTCGTGAGATCCGAGATCTCCAAAAATACCACAGAAGCAGCGTTGACCCTTTTTGCAATTTTTAGACTAAACTAGCGGTGTATGGCATATAAATTGCTAAAACTTCCGTTCAAAACATTTTTTTTTAGAAAAGATGAAATTTTTTTAACTTTGGAAAAAAATTAGATTTTTGAGAAATTTAAAATTTTTGAGAAATTTAAAAATTTTTGAAAAAAAGTCTTGAAAAAAAATGTTTTTGTTTATTTTGAAATATTTTAGAAATTTTGAACTTTTTTCCAAAGCAATCGCACTGCTTTAGCTGCATAGAGACGAATTATCAAAGCGCGTAAGCGCCGCGTCGCCGTTTAACGGCCAAGCGATGTTACGGAACCCATAGAAATGTAAACAAAATTAATACACATTATTAAAATCATTATGAAGTATCTGATAATTTGATGTGCATATGTCTAATGATCATTTTTGACCGCAAAATGACATTTTTTTATTTTTTTAACTAGATCTACGAAATCGCTAGGCCTGCCTTCCCAAAAATTTAATTAGTTCTTCATCTTATCAATACAAATAAAATGTTTTTTGAATTATTAAAATCAAACGCTCCGTTCTCTTAAAAACTGAGTTACAATTTTTAGCACTTTTCGCCACGTATCTTCGGAACGGCTGGACCTGCCTTTGCCAAAACCTAATCACCACGTCTCCTTATCAATACGAATCGAATGTTTTTTAAATTATTCAAATCGGCTGATCAATGTTCTCGAAATCGTCAACGAAATTTGTATGCGCACACATATGCCAAAATGTTCAGAAACGTTTGAAATGAAAAATATATAAAAACTTTCATTTTCAATTTACTATTACTATAACTTATCTTACGGGTAGTTAATAATAATTTATTTATTTTATTAAATGAATCTGCGTATGATCTTAATTATTATATGAGTGAAAAATCTCCAAATTATTACTAAAATATTTTTACACAAAAATATGTTTATTTTATTTATTGTGTTCGCGCTTTTTGCAAATGTTGCCTTATATACCTACCTAACCCTTTCTACCTAGAAATAATAAAATAATTTTACACCGTAGATACTAACAATAAGCTAGTTTTCAAGAAATCCTGCATTTTATAGTTAATCCTTGACCGATATATATCTTACAAAGAAATACAAATTATATACTAAATGAATCATTTTCCAATCAGTTGTTTTAAAGGACCCTTAAAATGGAAGGCACAGTTATGAATACCCACAGTTATTATAGTAATCGACTAAAAATTTAAAATATTTTGGCATACCTTAAAAAAATGGTAGTGTGTGTACTTATGTATGAATACAATTTTTCGTCCTCGATTTCGGACGCACGGATCAACCGATTTGAATGATTCAAAAAACATTTGGTTTCTATTGATAGGAAGCCGTGCTGATTAGTTTATGGCAAAGATAATTTCAGCTGTTTCGGAGATACAAACCAAAAAGTGCAGAAAATGGCAACTTTGCTTTACAAGAATGAGACATCCGCTTAGAATGATTTAAAAAATGTTCGGTTGTACTTGATCGGAAATCGTGCTGATTAGTTTCTTGCAAAGACAGGTCAAGCCGTTTTAGAACCATAGAACAAAAATTAGTAGTTTTTGAGAGAACGGAGCAACCGATTAGAATGATTCAACAAATATTCGATTCGTGTTGACGAGGAGATATATAGAGGGTTCGCAAAAAAAAAACAGTTCCATCCGTTTCGGAGATACGGAACAAATAGTGCAAAAAATAGCAGTTATGTATTGAGAAAACATTTTGCTTCTGTTGACAGTGTGAAGAATTGATTAGTTTTTGGAAGAGACATTTTTTTAACTTCAAAATTTCAAAACAAAAATAAATAATTTAGAAAAAAATATATTTAAATATCTAATTTTTTGCGTAGTTCTATTGCCAAATCAAAATAATATACATTTAAATATCTAAAATGATTTGGATTTTAAATTCACACTTGTGGTGTATGGCATCACACTGTAACAAAATGTTCGAGGAAGTTGTTCAAATAGATTATTATAAATATTGCAACTTTGTTTAATATTTATAAGAATTATATAAACTGAATTTCAAATTCAGTTGAAATTATTTGTTTAAAGTATATTAGAAATATAGTCAGAGTTAAAATTAAAATCTGAATTATTTTTCAAAAACATCGACGAAAAAAATGCGTACATACAAAACACACACACTCACACATACATTTTTTCTGAGGTATGCCAAAATGTTCAGAAACCTTCAAAACGTGGAGAAATGCAAAAGTTTTCATTTTCGTTTTTTGGCCCATTACTATAACTATCTACAAGTTAATAATGCTAAAAACATTTAAAAATTTTCGAATATTTTATTACGGTACGACAAGTTCCAGCAATTTGCCTTGAGGCACATTGCCATGCACCACTAGTTTGTTATGTCGTAGTTGGTTTTGATTTTCGCAGTATAATTACTAAAAGTCCCTGTCCTACGTCAAAATATTCAAAGTTTAAAAACAAAATCTATATTTAATCGGAAAGAACATTATTTGTGTCTTATCAAGTGATTTAGCAAATACACAAAACACCTAGATTACAATCTGCAAGTTTTTCATACAAACGTAACGGTTGATGTCAATACATATGAAAAGCAATAAGTTAAATGTAATTCTATTTATATGATGACAGCATCGATGTACTTCAACGTAAACACTTGTCAACGAGAAGGAAGTCAAATGTTCATTTCTTAGGTGATTAGAAAAACAACAAACGAGATCAAGACGAGTAATTATGTCCATCAAGGAAACAAAACTATTTAAGATGCACATGTTATAAAACCGATGTGAATCATTACAGCTGTTCTATAGTTTCTATGTCTATTTACGATGTAAAGTCCATTTCCAACTGATATTATCCATCTGTAAGAAGTTATTTAAGTTTTCAACATAATAATGTGATATTTTGACTTAACTGACTGATTTCTTTCATGGTAGTAAAGTTTTTGATCAAAAATAAATTTGGTAAATTTTTTCAAGTCATTCTGAACTGTTTTGCACATCCCTAAAAAACTATATTTGTATTAACGAAAATTTCATCTTCTGATCAATCGAAATCAAATTGACTTATTAAATTTGTGGCTCAAAGTCAAGTCAAAATATGCTTAATACCCAATCAGTTTTTGAGATTGCAGATTAATTAATTTTATTCATTTTCTAACATAAAATACAACAAAATGGTTTCAACTGAGGAAAATGTGAAAAATGATCTTCTGGTTTAGTTGAAAATTCACCATTGGTCAGATGGACATCACGTTATCGGTTTTTATACAATTGTGGTAACCATAATTTTGTTGCTAATTTATGATCGATATTAAAAATTTAATTCGCAGATGATTTTACTGAAAATTGTATCATTTTGAATCTTATTTTCATATTTTATTTAAATATTTGACATGTTTATATCTTATGTAATTTTCTTTTTATTTATTAGTTTTGTTAGAGTTTACATTTAGTATTATTAACTTCCCGAAGGAGAAGTTTATGTTTTCATCGAAAAATCCGATTCGCTAATTTTATGTTTTCTGGACGTTTCAAGCCATTCTGAATCGAATGACACCAAATTTGAAAAAAGTATGTGTGTGTGTGAACAGATTTTTTGCCGTAAATCGACGTTTTCCCAAAAACGGCTGGACCGATTTCAAAAATTTAACAACCATTCGATGTATCTCGATGAGGACTATTGTTTGTCAGTTTGTGCAACGATCGGCCAAGGTGTTTCTTTATAAATTGCAGAAAAGTGAAAATTTTTTTGTCTACGTTTTAGCCCGCAATTCTGAATCGATTTTAAAAATTCAAAAACCGTTCGGAAGATGTTGGTTGGGAATTGTGCTGATTAGTTTTTGGTAGAGATCTGCCGGGTCGTTTTCTTGTAATAAGGTGTTAAAAAAATTTTTTTCGTCAATTTTTATTATTTTTTTTTTTTTGACGGTAGATACCATAGTCTTCTAGATCATACTGAAATATTACGGCCCTACGACAAGTCGTTTAATTCTAAAAATTATCTAAAGTTTGCAAAAATTAGTATCGTTTTTTTGGCATTTGTCAAAATTAGACCTTTGATCGACAATTTCTCAAAAACGTCTGAAACGATTTCAGAAATTTAAAAGCCAATTGATGCATCTCAATAAGGACTATCGTTTGTCAGTTTTGTGAGACGATCTGCCGAGCCGTTTCTTTGTTTTTGAAAAAAAGTGTTAAACTTTTCGTCCACATTTAAGCTCATACTACCGAATCGATTTTAAAAAATCAAAAACTGTTTGAAAGATATTAGTTTGGAATGATACTGATTAGTTTTAGATGAAAATCTACCGAGCCGTAATTAAATCCTTGTAATTAACTGTTGAAAAAAAAAATTAAGCCGATTTTAATGGAACTTTTTTTGGCAATATATATCATGGTCTTATAGAACTTACTGAATTATTACGGCCTTACGTTTAGTAGTTTAATTTTAAAAATTCATCAAAGTTTGAGAAAATGAGTAGTTTTTTTTGACGTTTGTTAAAATTAAAATTAGACGATTTAGTTGGTATAACGATAGAGTACTTAGTCTTAAACATAATAAACCATTAAAGTTTTACGGAAACTGGTTCAATTATAAAAATTATTGATTTATGAAAATTTTCTTTTAGAAAATACTCCGAGTTAACGTGTTTCGTCCGTTCGTTTTCAATTATGTGTAATAAATCCACACGGAATACTTATAATCGCTCATAAATTAATTATTTTTTTATTGATTAAGTCGATTATTTACACATTTCGGGAAGTTTGAGAATACCAACTAGTTATTACTTGTATTAAGACTAATTCAATTATTTTTGCTAACAAATAATAAAACTTAGAAAATTATTGAATTAATATATTAAATTATTGAATTATCAGTATTTTCTATCAAAATTAAAAATCGTTTTCATGCCATCACACGAATGTTTTTTAAATTTAACGTTACTAAATTTTCAACCTGCTCAAAAAATGTCAAGTCATTCGGATAATATATAAGTTAGAAAATTATCGAATTCATATATTGCTACTAAAAATCAATCTATTTAATTTCTAACTTTAATTGCTTTTATACTGCATCACATATTGCAAGATTCAAATTTTAATTTAATCAATATTTTTCATCATTTAATTATGCAATAGATAATTCTAGGAGTTTTTAACAATCTTTAATAATAATAATAATATTGAATGCTCTGTCCTAGAACCCAAGAGCAATTCCGTGAGCTGAGTTAAACTCCAATTGAAATACGAAAATAATAAGTGTAACAAATTTTTCATTGCTTTTCACTCCGCTGTGCCCGAAAGGGGCTATTTTTAATTGGAAACATACTGCTTAATATTAGGTTGATATTACTACTGCATGAGACCAGGTGGTCCAGAGCGAGAGTTTGAACTTACAATCCTGTCGACAAAAAAGCAGTGCGTTTAACCGTTACGTTACACTATGTTATAGCAACAGGTTTTTTACTTGTTGGTGAAATAAATGTTGTTAGAAGACCAGAGGGCTCGCCCGTAGGTAAGCGGTCAAGAGCGATGGGACCTGAATCAGAGGTCCCGGGTTCGATACCCACTTCGAGCAGCCTGTTGTCAGGCAGCAGTGACAACGATTTTCACTTGAAAATATAGAAAAAATAGTTTCCAAGTGAAAATAGCCCTTGCCCGGCATTGCTGCACCAATAAAATGTCAACCCTATTAGATTAATTCTAATAACAAAAAATCATCAAATATGGATGGATTAACCCTGAAAAATACGAAGTAAGGAGGAGTTTCAGCAACAACTCATAGGACGTAAAGTTCTGATTGCTGTTCAAAAATAATAATAAAAAAAAGAAGACTAGAAACTTTTTCACTGATAAAATAGGTACCTGAGAGAATATGTAGTGTTGCCATCCATTTTGGCCATTGGTAATGCATAGAAGCCTCGTGGTTTGTAGCTTTCACTTGGCTGAGCATTTCCCACCGGCATGTAGCTCAATTTTTGAGTCGTGTTCGATTCCATTTTTGCTTAAAAAAAGAGATTGATAAATTCATAAACTTGTTCATTTTTCTACTATCATTTTATGATTTGTTTATTTATTTAACCATTTATTCTGTTTCTGATTCACGCAGTTTGTTCTAAGAAACTTGAGGCCATATATATTAGATAGATCTTACTACGAATTATAATATAATTCTATTATATGGGTATAAGCATAATT